TCATGGTAACCACAAATCTAATGTCACCCCACACGATGATGTGCTAATGCTAAAATTTAAATTGGGATAAGCCAATATACTATAGCAGATTAATTTGAGTCCATAACTTATGATAGACGCGAATTTATCAGTTTAGAACCACCACTATCCGTTCTAAAGTCTCTAGCAACTGTAGTAACCAACAAACCAAGATCGATTCCCGAATGTTCGAAGAACAGTTATGTCCAGATTCTATTGCACAACTTGAAACAAAAAACTAACAACACCAAAATGTTATAAATAACATGAGGTACAAATCGCTTGAAGACCTCTTCACCAAAAAATTCAACACGTGCCCTCACGTGCCGGGGATGCTCTCTGCGCATGGGCTTTACATGCCATTGGACAACCTCAAGCGTCGGATAGGCTGGATCTCCACCACCTGCATGTCACACCAGTGGTCTCCATTTCCCAAAACTCATTCTGGATTGTTCAAAAATTGCACAAACATATCTGATTTTTGGGCAGTTTTCTGGCAGTTTTTTCAATCTGTATTTTCCCTCGTTTCAGTCGACTTTTTGGACATTTTCTGGTATATTTCACAAGCCAAAACCACCCTGAAGCTCTGATACCAAAGGTCATGGAAGGTGTCTCCAAAGATCTTCAAATCGGTGGTTTTCGGACTCAATCCAACGTACTTTTTTTCTACCAAACAACTAAACCAATCAGTTCCAATCCGCAGCCAATGTATCCACCTTGGTTGCTATTCAATCTTATCCACAAAGGATAAGAAACGATGATGATTTGTAATCACAAAGGTAAAGAGAAAACACCACAAATATAGGTTATGAAGGAACCATAAATTACACAAAGTAATCAACTGTTTTGGACACCAAAAGGGGCCTTTTTCACCCACCAAAGAGGGCAGTCAAATTTCTCCTTGATTCACACACAAACCACACCAGAAAAATAGCTGGGGTTGTAGTCTTATAAATAGTCTAGGATTAGGCTTTTAATTGGACCAAAAAATAGAGGTAAACGGGTTAAGATTCAAATCATTCAAGAGGGAATACAGTTGGACCGGGTGGAGTTTATGGACTTGGTTGTTGGACTTATTTCATTCATCAACCTAAGTCTATGAATATGTTATCCCACGTTAACATCATAGTTCAGGATTTATTGAATATCAAAAATCCAACAATATATTTTTGTGTGATCAATGTTGTTTCTTATTTATATTTCGGGCATTATCATACCTTTTTATACATTCCATATGCATATTTACATGATTATGCATTTCAACTAGTAAATTGTATTCTAAAAAACTGTACTTCCACTCAAATGTCAATTAATTAACTATACTATAAATTTGTTCAAATAACTACAATTTAATTTGAATTCAACCAAAGTGATGTAGCAGAAGCTTATAGGAAAGATGAACAAATCTCACAAGATGAAAAACTCATTAAATTTTTATTTCTATCAATCAATGCGGCAACAAAGAGTTTATAATACTTTATATAGCGAAAACCCTAGGAAAATTTGAAAAAAACTAAATAATGATAATAAATATTTTTTCCCAAAAATGAAAAAAGAAATCAAGATAATGACTAAAATTGAAGTTCCAATCTTCAGGATTATCTTCCAACAAATAGAATTCAAATCCGAATTTATTTGATTGAGATATAACCAAAACAAAAATTAATGAATACCTAAACGAAAGAATTTTCCCGAAATTGGCCCGGCTCAGGAGCAAAACTGCTGAATCTTGTTCATTGGCCCATTTTCAATCAAATTTGATTAAGATTTTGCGAAAAATGGACAACCCCAAAATTTCTCCAAAAATCGGGAAGTTGCTTATTTCTACTTGCGTCAATCCCACTTTGCAATAAAGTCTAATTCCTTTTGCACCTCATCACAAAGTCACTCAATCGAATTCCACAACTTTGACAGACGAGGTCAAATAATGATGAAATTACCTCAATAGAAATAAAAGATGGAATATGGTTACTAAATTGTAACAAATTAAAATATAGTTACCTAATTAATATTAGAGTAGAGAATAGTCATTGCAATTGGATCTATAGATAGAATTTTGATATAAAATTTGAAGTCTTCTGTGTTTCAGTGGTAACATATTGTTCGATGAAACTAAGGTCCAAAATATAGAATAAATAAGTGTTACCTATTTACAGAGATGGTGTTATTCAAAGTATTTTTAAAATTATTTTGTATGAACAATGGTTTTGGGGATCGCGTCCCTTCTCGCCCAAAATTGGCCAGAAGAGAAGTTCTTACGACTAGATCCAACCTTCTATCCCTACAAAACTATACAAAATTTATGCACTTTCTAATATGTCTCCTTTTTAATTTATAAATAACATGATAAACACGTAACTTGACTTATTTTCATGTATATGCATCTATAAAAAAAATAAAAATGCGTTCATATGATATTTAACAACTTTTTTACTATTTAGGCTGTGTTTGAGTTTTAGTGGGGATTAAAATTAAATTTTTTAATAAATTGTGGTAGCAATTTTTGAAATGTCTGATTAAAAAATTGTGGAACCCATGAAAGATGTGATTAAAATTGATTGTCGGCCTGGGCATCGGGTGGATCAGTCCGAGTATTTCAATAACTAGAACCACCCATTAGAGTTCGAGTATTTCGCAAATCAAACCATTCGGGTATTTGTAAATACTGAAACCAAATTCAAACTCGTACCGTCGATTTCGATTCTACCCACAACATTTTTATATACATTTATTTAATAAATATTTCACATAAACTCTTTTGGTACATATATCTAATACACTGCTACTCGAAAATATATATGCAATGGAGAAAATCCAGTTAAAAAATCTTTAAAAAGAAAAATATTGAATACTAAAAGTCATGAAAATAGGAGAAAAAAGTCAAAAATGAAATTATAATTTGAGAAAAAAATATTTTTCTTAATAAATCTGATTCGATCTCTAAGAGATGCATACTAGGCACGTAATTTAATTATGAACAATGCTTGAATTCTTCTACTTGTGAAATGAACTGATATAAAAAAATATTAATTAAATACATGGCTAATATAGTATAAAAAAATTACGGTCCACACATTGAACTCACTCCGTTTGAATAAAAAATAACTATTTATAAAGAGAACCACGAATTTAAGACAACAAAAAATCGAAACACAACGCGATCAATTAATATATCAAATTTAATTGCCATGCATTATGAAAAAAATTAAAAAATCACTTAAGGTTATTAATAATACAAGAAATTAAAAAGCTTAAATTGTAAAAGAATGAACGCTTTGATTCATCAACTTATATTACAATATGTTTGAAATTTTTTATTTATAAAAAGCTTAAATTGTAAACATTAACATATAATAACCTCTGAGATGCAACAATCTAATATAAGGTGAGATGTAAAAAAGTAAGAACAAATCCTTTTTTTTTTTTTTTTTTTTTTGGGGTTAGAGTTTAGAGTTTTGACTAATTATTATCAAAATTAGGATTTTTAGATTTTATATGTTTGTTCCAGCCAATTATAAATAATTTTTTTTTATAAAAATCAATTTCATTCGAGTACTCACGGTTCTGGTTCAAGAATGAAGAATCGAATCGAATCGAACCCACTCAGTTCTCGATTTTCGGTTTCGGTTCCTAATTTATTCTTTTGGGAATCGGACTCGAATCTCCAATTCTGGTTCGATTTCAATTTTGGAGATTCAATTCCGGTTAAAATGCTCATGCTTAATTAATTGGTTGACTTTGACTTAAATTAAAATCAAATTTTAATCCAAACCAAACATGCCCTTATTATTATTTTTTTTTGAAGAAAATAAATTTTATAATAGTAATTTTTTGAGAATATGTTGTTAAAAAGTAGAAAAGCTTTGTCACTTAAAATGGTTGTTGAACAACACTAATGCAAGCTAGAATTTTCAAAAAATATATTCATTTATCGCCTCATTTCAGTAATTATTTAATATATTTTTAAATATAATTTCAAAAATACAATAAAATAAAAATATTCGAGATGGTTTCAAGGAAATCAATGTGGAGACTATGTTCCCATCCTCGACTAATTACTCACGGGGAGGGAACTCCTCACTCTATTCGGTTGGGGCAATATGAGGTGAGACGATGACACATCTTTAATTAGAAAATACCTTTATCTTAATGAAAAAATTGCTCCGCTGGTTCCCAACTTTCAAGCATTCTAGAAACTTAGTTCTCAATCTATTTTTTCCTAAAGGCAGTGTTTTGTCCATTTAATGTTTTAAAGTTTACATAGTCCTCGTCTGGTATTAATTTTTCACCTTAAAAAATTAATTTCTTAACTATTATTTCAATATTCTAATAATTATTTTTTACTTCCTCACTCACAGATGAGCCCATTTTTCTCTTTAATGGTCAAAAAATCAATTCTCATAATTATTACTGAACAAACTCATAAATTAAAAAATAAAATAAAAATAGAAATACACATTCATGGCATTTACATTTTATTTATATATTCATTATACACGGAAAGGAGGAGATTTCGATAGTTACATTAATTAACTTGTTTCTTACATTCCCTTATAAAATCTCAATGGTAGTTGAGTAAAATAAGAAAATGAAGAAATAGTTCTAACTCTTGTTTGAGTCTCATTCTTTTGAAAAAATATATTTTTCAACAGTATTTTGACATAATTTTAATTACACATTTTTTAATAAAATAATATTATACGTAAATTTGAAATTTTTTTTTATTTTTTAATCACATATTTTACATCAAAATACTATTTAAAAATTCATACATTCGAAAAAAAATGGAGCTAAAACAAGTGCGTATGTTCAAAACACAAGGACAAATTTGATTAATGAAATTTTGACTAATGACTAGTTTCTCATTTTCTATCATTGCTGTGGCCTCTGGTCTCCATCTCGAGAAAGTTCCTTAAATTAGGGCTTTGTTCAGCACTGTAAATTTCCTGAGAATGGGTAATTTTATGTTTCTTTCCAATCGAGGGGATGCCATTAGCCATATGATTGGTTGGTTGAAGCTGTAATGCACAATAATACAGTCATAAAATACAAGTAATTTACGTGGGCCTCATCACTTTTTGCACGCACCTTCATACACCCTCACTACGTGTATTCTTCTCTCTCACCTACACACAGACACAAAAGCTTGACCCTTCCAGCGAATCAGATTCCATCCTTTGTACCCTTTCTCTCGTTGCGTCCATCATCGCTTCTATCAATACCTGTACACTTTGCCTCTCTCTAATTATTGATATAATTTATACATGATTTGATTTTCATTATAGATCGTATTTTGGTTCTGGGTTGCATTAGTTATCGTCCGATAGTTTAGGTCAGATATCCTTATTTATATTCTTTATTCTTTGCAATCGTCGTTTAGTATTTATTGATTTTGTATGAGTTATGATATTATATACTGTAATACTTATATTTATTTATTTTTCTTGATAATTCAGGAATATATTTGGAGAGCCTTGGTGAAGTCAATTTGATAAACGGCTGATAAAAGATTATGCTTTCCTCAAAAGTTCATTGATATTTCAACGGGGAGCTGTTTTATTCTGGGCTTGTGGTATTGTTCATTCTGTTTTCTTGGGTTCGTAGAATCAGGAAGTTCCTATTTTTTTGTGCTGAATTTCTGGATCTGGGCTTATGATTTGGGATTTTAAGAATATTAATCTTGGTTATGAAGGTTTGGTGATTTGCTATTTGGGGTTTGATCAATCTCCAAGTTCGTATAGGTTCCTTGGAAATGAATCAGATGGTAGACTTGGAATCACTGAATAATCATTGTTTGGATTTGGATTATTCTGCTTTGGATTTGCAATTTTTCAGCTATTTGATTAAACTTGAAGGGCTATAGCATTTTCGGAGCCATTTCTTTCTCAGCTGTTTTTATTTATTAAGTTATGGAGCATCTTCCAGTAGAGGTCATTGGGAACATACTATCACGGCTTGGGGCCGCCCGAGATATTGTAATTGCATCTGCAACATGCCGAAAATGGCAAGAAGCATGGAGGAATCATCTCCATACCCTCACATTTAATTCTAATGATTGGTCTCTGTATCATGAGTTCTCCAGGAGCAGACTTGAGATACTTATTACTCAAACGATATTTCAAATCAATGGACTGCAGTGCCTCACAATAATTCTCGATGATGTGGATGAATTCTCTGCTGCCCCAGTTATTGCTTGGCTCATGTACACGAGGGAAACATTGCGTCAGCTGCATTATAATGTAAGGACGACGCCTAACATTAACATTCTTGAAAAATGTGGTAGGCAGAAGCTTGAAGTCTTGGCTTTGTCTCACAATACTATTACAGGGGTTGAACCTAGTTATCAGAAATTTCCCTGTTTGCTTTCTCTCTCTCTGAGCTATGTCAGTGTATCAGACTTGGATCTGAGTCTTCTTCTCACTGCCTGTCCAAAAGTTGAAGTCTTGACCCTTGTCAGTCTAGACATTGTTATGTCAGATCAACAAGCACCAATGGTCTTGAGCAGTAACTCATTGAAGGATATTTATGTTGAAGCAATCAGCGTGGATAAGTTCATATTAGAAGCTGATAGCCTGGAGAAGTTGCACTTGAAAGATTGTACACTTGACGTTTTTGAGCTAGTTGGCAAGGGGATGTTGAGGTTCCTGAAGATCGATGATGTTAGTGTCATCCATCTTGATATTGGTGAGAGTGCTGAAAATCTGGAGGTTGTGGATGTGAGCAATTTTACGATCATGTGGGCAAAGTTCCATCATATGATCTCAAGATCATCAAAGTTGAGAAAGCTTAGGCTGTGGGGTGTTGTGTTTGATGATGAGGACGAGGTGGTTGATATAGAGACTATTTCTTCATGCTTTCCTTTATTAAGGCATCTATCCCTGAGTTATGATCTACGAGAGGCTGCAATACACTATGGATTGCTAGGTTCATTTGTTTTGGAGAATGTAGTTGTGTTGGAACTTGGGTGGACAGTAATTAGCGAACTGTTCTCACATTGGGTGTCCGGACTTCTAGAAAGGTGTCCACATCTTAGGAAGTTGGTCATCCATGGGGTTGTTTCAGAGACCAAAACCCCTGAAGAATGCAATATGCTAGCCAACTTCACATCATGTATTGTAAGACTCATGAGGAAGTATCTACGTGTAGAGGTTCAATTTGAATATGAATAGATATTGTACTGCATAAGCAGGTACATGACCTTCGGAGGAGGTTCTTCATCTTTCTGTGGTCTTATCTTTCCCATATAAATTTTGGTCAGATGTATATCAATCATATTTTTCGTGTACGAGTTCATCTCATGCTTGCATATGGTGATAATCTTATTATTTTTCTCAGTGATTTAAGTTTGCAATATGTTGTTCTTGTTTCCCATGAGGAGGATTTTCAATCCCATTTATTGTTGTTTCTTATATTTTCAGTTGTCTCTTCTATTTAGCTCTCTTTTGCCACTCCCCTTCTACCTTTTTTTTTTGGGTTTTAATACGATTATTAGTTATAATACAGATACCTTCCAATCTGTTGACTGGATATTGTGGAGAGTAAAGTAGAATATTACATTTGACTGTACACTTCTTTAAATGTATTGGTTGTTGCTTGTGTTTTCTACTACTTCCATTTAAATTTCAGATTCCTTCTCTCTAGTTGTATACATTTCTTTGTTGTCTCACAACAAAATGGAGTCTGGCTGAGCCCTGGAATCAATTACTTACTCTGGGAAGTGATCAGAATTCAAGAACTGCTAGTGACATAAATGAGGTTTGATCCCTATTTCCAGTTTTTGATTCCTTGTTGGGTCCAAGTTACTCAGGAGAGATAATTTAAATCTTTAATTAATACGTGAATTACACTGTCTTTACACACTGGATTACAAGAGTACGCTATACACTTTACGATGGAACAATTTGCTAATGATTTGTGTCTTCAAATCTCCAGAATCAATTCAAGAAAAATGGTTTTGGTAATGTGGTTCTAATTCTTTCTCTTTCGTGTGGTCGCTTTCTGGGACCCTCAAAACGGGAATCAGTGTTTGTTTTGTGCAAAGAGGGGGAAGATGCCTACACACTTGCCATTTTAAAACTGACTGTACATTGTTTGAAAAATGAATGAAACTAATTTTTCTGTCTTCTCGGTGAAATACCTGAAATGTACGGAAGAAGAACTATAAGGCCTTTGAGTGAATATAAAATAACATCAAGATGATCATTGAGTTTATGAGAATTTGTTATTCAGTTTCTTCTTGTTGGACATAGAGAGTATCTGACTATACTTCCCCTCTTTCTGAGTTTGGGATGATAAACATGGTTATATGATTGATTGCCCTTTGTTCATTAGATGCATCTTGATGTGCTTTTGATTTTTATATGCTTACATAAATCCAGATTTATCATCAATATATCGCTCAGAATTTTCATCATTCGTGTTTTTAACTGAAGAAGATGAAATGATGAAATGCAAAACAGATGGCAAAATGATAGTATGCAGAATAAATTGGAGGAAGTTAATTTGAGTAGATATATATATATATATATATTTATTTATTTATTTATTTTTATAAGTATTCAAATAATTTTATTAATCAATGGATAATACATTGAAGGTGTATTATCAAGTTAAACAAGAAAGAAATGACATAAAATTTGGCAGCCCTTCTATGTAATTAGTGACTGCAGTATGAAACCGAGTATACGAAGTCATATAGAACAATTTTCTAATTAGCTCTATTGTTCTTGTTTGGTTTTCGGAATAGCGGTTGTTCCTTTCTCTCCACACACACTAAACAATGCATCCCGGAATGAGATTCCATGCAAGCAGACTATCCTTATTTCAAAAATTTTCTCCTCCATGCCCTCACCACGTCTTCTATGCACCTGGAGAACACCCAATCCAAATGTTGGGAAGCTAGAATATTGTTCTACAACCACCGAACACCGTCACAATGGAAGAATAAATGGTTAATCGTCTCCCCATCTCTCTTACACGTATAACACCATTCGGTCACATAAAAACCTTTTCTTCGAAGATTATCCACCGTTAACCCTTGCCTTCTCACAACCGTCCACAACAAGAAAGCCACCCGTGGAGACAGTTTACATTGCCACACCATCTTCTAGGGAAATAAACTCTCCTTCGATCCCAATATGGATCTAAAATAAGTGCGAACTGGAAAGATACCATCCCGTGCCAACTTTCACCTACTCCGATCATCCTCTCCTACCTGACTATGGGCCTTGTGCAAGGAGGTTAAAAATAGTGCATAATCATCCAATTCTCAATCTTGCAAACCCCTCTCAAATGTAATAATCCAGCTGTAACTTCCATAATGTGTGGCTAGTACATCGTTCACCATAGCGGAAGGCTCCAATGCAATGCGATATAAAGAAGGAAACCGTGCCTTTAGCGGGTAGTCTCCACACCAACAACCATCCCAAAATTTGATACTAATGCCATTCCCCACCACATAAGTCAATTTCTCACGAAACTTATTCCAACCTCGTTGGATATACTTACACAAATTCACAGCAAAAGATTCACGACCATCGATAGAGCACCAATCCCCCTCCATCACACCATACTTTGCTCTGATGATTTGTTTCCAAAAACTCCCCCTTTTCACTCCAAATCGCCACAACCACTTGCCCAATAAAGCCTTATTAAATAGAACAAGGCTTCGCAATCCAAGGCCCCTCGTCTTTACAGGAGAACAAACCACACCCCAATTAACCAAATGGAATTTCCTCTCTTCCCCTAGCCCTGCTCAGAGAAACTCCCTTTGAATCCTCTATAATCTGTTGGCCACTGTAACAGGAGTAGGAAACAGTGACAAGAAATAAGTTGGGAGATTAGACAAAGTAGATTTAATTAGAGTAAGGCGGCCTCCCTTCGAAAAGTACATACGCTTCCACCCGCTAACCTCTTCTCCACCCTTTCAATTATTCCATTCCAAATATGTTTACTTTTAAACCTTGCCCCCAACGGGAGCCCAAGGTATGACATGGGCTATTGCGCAACCCTACAACTCAATATATCGGCTAACTCACCCACTTTGGCAACCTCTCCCAGTGGAATGGCCTCGGATTTCCTTAAATTAATCTTCAATCCTGACACCGCTTCAAGGCATAGAAGTGGCCGACGCAAGTTCCTGAATTACTCATTAGCTACATCGCAAAGGATCAGTATATCATCTGCAAGTAGCAAATGGGAAACCTATAAGTGTCCAACCATAAACCCCCTTATCAATTCTTCTTCCACAGCTTTCTCAAACATCCTACTAATTGCCTCCATAAAGATCACAAACAGTAATGGAGACAAGGGATCCCCTTGCCTCAAACCTCTATTGCTTCGAAAATAACTCTCTGGGTTGTCGTTGACCAAAACTGAGAATGAAACGGTAGAGATACAGAATTGAATCCACTTACACCACTTTTCCCCAAAACAACATCACTTGAGCATGTACAAAAAGAACTTCCAGTTCACATGATCATAAGCCTTCTGATGTCGAGTTTACATAACATTCCTCGCACCCCTAAATGCAATCTAGACTCAACGCATTCATTCGCTATAAGCACAGAATCCAAAATTTGTCTTTCTTTCACAAAAGTAATCTGACTCTTAGTTACCACTTTCCCCAACACCTCCTTCAATCTGTTCGTCAGGATCTTCGCGATAATCTTATATACCTCACTAACTAAGCTAATAGGGCGGAAATCCTTAATGTCAACTGCTCCCGGTTTCTTTGGAATCAGCACAATAAATGTAGTATTGGAACTTCTCAGGAACCTGCCGTACTCAAAAAAATAAGTAAGAACATCTATAATGTCCGGTCCCACCTCCTCTCAACAATCCTTATAAAATGCGAAGGAGAAGCCATCTGGTCCAGGTGCCTTATCATCATTCATATTGAAAACCACGTAATTGATTTCATCTTCTGCAAATGGTCTATCTAACCAACTAGCATCCTTCTTCGTGATAGTAGAAAAGTCTAGTCCATCCACCTTTGGTCTCCAGTCAAATTGTTCTCGATATAGATTTTGATAGAATCTCACCATCTTATTTTCAATATCCTGCAAATCCTCATAGGTAATCCCATCAACCTCCAACACGATGATAGAGTTGTTGCGCCTGTTCGAATTGGCAACCTTATGGAAAAATTTAGTGCATTTGTCCCCCTCTTTTAACCATGTAACCCTAGATTTTTTGTGCCAGGCAATCTCCTCCATCTCCACCAGTCTCTCCAACTCTCCTCTCAACATTCCACGTCTCTCCCTCTCTACTCCATCCAATCCTCGACCCTCCTCTCGCCTATCCAGTTCTTCTATTTCTAGAATGCATTGATTTTTATGCCAATTAACATCACCACCACCTCTTCAGATCCCTCTTCAAGGCTTTTAATTTCTGGTCCAACACATAACTGGGAGACCCCTTGAATTCATAAGATGCTCACTAATCTCATACTCGCTCCCTAAAGCCATCTACTTTAAGCTACATGTTCTCAAATCTAAAAGGCATTCTTCCATTACACCTCACATTCCCCAATAACAAAATAGGGAAATGATCAAAATACACTCTCCCCAATCTTCTCTGAGTGATCTCTGGATATTTGGTCTCCCACTCCCTACTAATCAGAAATCGATCTAATCGAGACAAGACAGGTTGATCCCAGTTGGATGACCAAGTAAAGTCTCCTCCAATCAAAGGCATGTCAACCAGCGTATTATCCCTAATAAAATCTGAGAAATTCTCTATTGCTCCTGTTAATCTCCCATCGCTAGACCTCTCAGTAGGAAATCGAACCACATTGAAATCTCCCCCAATACACGTTGGAAGGTCCCACCAAGACATCATACCAGCCAACTCATTCCACAAATCACATCTACTCTCATCAATATTAGACCCATAAACTCCTATAAATATCCAACAAAAACTAACCCCAATATTTCTGAACAAAAGAGAGAGAGAAAATAACCCCTCATTGACCTCTTCCATATTAAAAACCCTCGTATCCCACATGACTAACAAACCTCCTGAAGCTCCCGATGACCCGACATATTGATATTCGACATGCTGCCCCCCCCATAGACTGCTCACAATAGCCCTTGAAACAACCTCCAACTTTGTCTTTTGAAAGCATACAAGGTCAGCACTCCAACCCCTTAATAGATTTCGAATCCCTAATCTTTTTCCAGCTTCATTCAGCCCCCACATTCCAGCTGATTATTTTTGAGATCATCTTAACACTCCGCCATCCCTCCCCATCAAACCTCTCCTTGAATCGCCACCCTTAACGTTATAATTGACTGAGCATTGAACCGCTTAAGTTCATGATCATCTTTTCTTCTTGTATTCCCACCTGGTGTGCCCACCCCTTGTCCCCTACTAGCCTCCAATTTTTCAAATAATTTCATTAGCCTAG